AGTAAGGACTTTTTCTCTCTCCTGTGCAACCTGTTTCAACCCACATAATCGCACAGCCCCCAACAAATTACTCTTAAAGGGCTATGGCCCTTGCAAGAGAAAATTCACCTAGACTCTCTGATGGTTAAAATCCAGATGAAGTGATCATTGGGGCCATCGCATTAAGGCCTAATGGCAAATGAGAGCTTTTTTCTTGTAGCCATTTGGGGCTACTGGTGTTGAAGTTTTAGGATAGTCTTTTTATCTATACAAGGGGCAGTATGCAAGCCCTGGAAGATAAGCTTGCCCTCTGGTCTAAATTCTGCTGTGTGGCGCCTTTGTAGAGGTTTCTTTGACACATCCCTTCAAGGGCAGGAGCTGCTGAAGCTGACACTCTATTGAAGTTGCACTTTTGTTTTATTTTCCACGTTACCGCTTCACCAGCAGGCCCCCAAGGCAGCTTTTCTTGTTTTTTTTCGAAGCATGACACACCTTCCCTTTTTGGCTTTTGTGGCATGGTGTCTGGCACCTCCCATACATAATCTTTTCTTTTTCTTCCCTCTCTCTGTTTTATTCTGCTCAGCATTCCTGTTCCAAAGGCCAACAGCCTTTCCCCGGAAGCTTTGCAAATTCATTTTCTAGTTCTTTTCAGACTCAAAAGAAAATACTGCAAGGTTTGAAGTCCATATGTGTTGGAGAGAAAGAACTGTATCCTATTTTGCTCTCAATCTCAGTGCAAGCTTTGTGCTGCTGATCTGATCTGGGCTGCCCGCCAGGTACAGGCAGCTACAGTAAACGAACCTGCCTTTTTGGCTCCCACCCGCCATCTCATCAGCAGCTGGAAAGACGGAGAATGAGGTCCACCTCACATGGCACCTTTTTTCAAGGCATAGTCACTCATTACATTTTCTCAGGCCGAAAAGTTTTTTTTTTAAAGTTGACTGCTGCAAAGATATATTGGAAATAAAAATAAGAGAGTCTGTTGTATATTTATAGAAGTTATTGTCTGTTGTATTTGCTGGACACATACCATAAACTAAGGATTGCAGAGGTTCCCAAAAATTATGCTTGGCCCCACTCGCTTCTAGAGGGCAACCCTTACATGCCATACAAAGCCAAGTGTGTCTCCCGAACCAACAGCTTTTGTACACTCTTGTAAGAAACCATGGTTTACAAACCACTGTAGCTTGGTTTAAACAATGCAGAGTCATAACCATGATTTACCAGTTACCGTGACTGGGTTCCCACAACATGTTAATACAACCATAAGCCAAGCATGTGATTGTGTAGCACAGTCAGTGAACTTAGCACTGCTTCAGTTGAGAAGTCCTTGGCTACCACCCTAGGCTTCTATTCACCTTACAGGGTATAGAAGATGATGGAGGGGTGACCTCTTTGTGTCAGTGCCCCACACACACTGCAGTCTGAAGGAAACTGTCAATCAGTGTCGACTGATTTTCTGCTAGAGTGAGGAGTGAGAAAAAGAAGGCTGTGCTAAAAAATAACATTGGGGAAGAGAGTTAAGAGTCCCTTTGCTTGTGATTCTGCACACTTAGGGGCAAGTCAGTGGTCAAAATATGGTTACTGTTCCTCTCACCTGTTGCCAATCCAGTGGATAGTCTCTGTTGAAAGTACCTGGCTTTCAGCCCTCCAGATCCAAACTTTGAAAGAAACATTGGCGTTGCTGCTTTTGTCAAAGCCGAATTGTGAATTGTTGTAATATATTTGTTTATTGGGGGGAGAGGGGGAGGGTATGGATGCTTTATCTGAAAAGCCAGGTCAGAGGATAGAAAACTGACTCTGGCTGGTGCAATGTAAGCAGGTCCTGTTGCTACACAAGGTGATATCAAGTGATCTCTTCTGCTCCTACTTTTTCCCCAAATTCAGTTTGGTAAAAGAGGTGTGCAGGTTGCTGACTTTTGCAGCAATGTGATACAGGAAGATAAATGCATTGAAATTACTTTGGGTTTATAAATACTCCTCTGTTTCTAAAAGTTCAATATATGTTTTGGCATTCTTCCCAGTCTTTTGGAGCAAATTTTGTGAGCGCTCAGCTAGAGGGAGTGAGAGAAGACCCTTTGGGTATGCAGAAATTCATGGATGCAGTACTGTATTAGATTTTTATGCATTTTAGGGTGCACGCCGTTATGTTCTATGTAATGGAAACATTGATGGTTTGTAGACTTGGTTCAGATTGAAGAGAGGGAATGGAATGGAAATAAGAGGCCTGGATACTATACTTTGGTCAGAGAGATTTATAACTGCTGCTTGTGTTGCTGAAAGTACCGTCAAGAAATTACTGCTTCATTTTTCTACCTTAGGCATCAAAATGTCTGGAGCTAAGCCTTGACTAAGTAAATGTTTCCCTGTCTATGTGTTCGGCAGCAGGGAGGAAAACCCTGCCTGTGTAATAAGAAGCTGGAACAATCACCTTGTTTTGGGGTTTTTTAGTTTTGTTCTCAGACTGGAGGTCTTCGAGGATGCATTTTAAACATTTTATTCCTAAAGGGGTAGAAGTGAGATTCCTAGGAGTGAAAATATTTGGATTTCGAACAAGTGGCTCTGCATGGAATAAGTATAATCCTCGTATTATACTCTCTTGGTCTAAGAGAAAGGTTAGATTATGCATATGTAAACCAAAGTACGTAATAAAAAAAAAACTTCCTGGTGCATTGAATGTCCTAAGGGGAATTACTCGGGCAAAGCTGGTATGTGTAAACAATAGAAAATCCTCTTTTCTGCTAAGAAACTATTAGGCAAATCAACATCTGTGCAGTTTTTCCATAAATTTAAGCAGCTGGCTTTTAAAAGTATTCTACGTTCTTTGTTTAGTTGTAGGTATGCTTCATGTTTATATCCAATTTGTCTGTTAAAACACACCAAAAATGAACAATATAATCCAGTAAATTTTCACTGCAGATCAAGAAAGGAAACCTCACGTCTAAGAAAATGCTCCCTATTTAACAGCGTAGTCAAGAAATCTATTGGGGAAATGAAAGTGTTAAAAATGGAGGTTTGTCCAGATAAGCAGAACAAAAAGGGAATTCAGGCTTGAAAAACAAGAACCCAGATAGCGCCAGGGTTCATATGTTGTACTAATGTTAATGTGATTTGCTTTTTGGCTTAGCACAGTGCACAAACCTATCCATCATAGCTTTGATTTATGTACAATTCAGGTAATAACGGCTTGTTCAACTAAGTGTGGCTAAAAATCCTGCTTTAACACAGGCAAAAGGATTGGAAGAACAGCATTTCAGAACTCATTGTTAAGTATCTTAAGCCCAGGGTTTTGTTTTTTTAAAAATAAAGTTAAATATACCAGAAACAGAAAATCAGGCAGGGAGATATTTGAACACTTAAATCACAAGAGTTCAGAGACGATGAAATAATTATTTAGGTATCTTTTTTCAAGGAAGTGATAGGTAACCATGTAGGCTGTAAGAAAGGTATGTTCAAAGACTACAGTATTTGCAGAGCTTGATGAGGATGGTTAAACCTTGTTCTAGGCTGTAATTCTCAGGAACCTGCAAGTACTAAGTAACAGTGAGAGATGAAATAAATATTAAGCTCCTGTACCGTAGTGTCCAAGGTGAAACAGCAGAAAATACAGAATATCCTGCTGCTTCAGTGGATAGCTGCACCCACTGAAATTTTCTCCCCAGGCACAAATGCTTAAGCTCTGACTGTTCCCCCCTCCTCCACCTTTCCTTTTTTGGCCTCCAATCATCCTATCCCAGTGGCTCTGCATTAGCTGGAAAAGTCTGTTCGGTGTATGAATGTGCATTCATTTTTGCTTCCTGTACTGTTATTTTAGAAAGCTTCACTTGCTACAATATTCAGCAGTATGCCGCAGAAGTCCCCAAGAAGTCTTTCTCTCAGCCAGCTATGCTGCCAGTGGCTGAGCTGCAGAGATCCCTTGTTAGTTGGAAGATAGTTGAGAGTTAACAGCTAGAGTTTACCTTGGTGGCAGGACCAGGCATGGGATGGGCCATCAAGGTTTCAATTTCTTCTTTCTAGAAGGCAGTTTGCCTTAAGGCTACGTAGGTAACCTACTTCTTAACCCTTGGGTCTTGCTATTAATTCTTTCCCACCTTTAATCTAAAAACATGGCTTGATGAATAGGCCTTAAAATATATCCTACATTAGAAGAGCACATTGAAGCAAATAATGAACTGCAAAGCTAGAGTTATTGACAACCTCTGCAGATTCTTGCCACAAAACTTAGTATTCTGAGTGGGTTTTTTAAAGGAAGCTAAATGAAAAAGTTCTCTCTCCTCCTGTACCTGAATGCTTGGCTTGCAGATAAATACCATTAAAACCAAAGTGTGCAGCAACTGGAACCACTTGGAAATTTCTAGTCTTGCCAATGATTGTGTTAATGGCAGAATTATCCTTTTCTGAACTGAGCCGGGCATGGGGGTGATGAAGATCTTTCTGCTTCAGCAATCGAGGTTAGATCCTAAACTTGTAATTAGATCCCTGCCTACCCAGGCCTGACCCAATCATTTTGTGAGTCAGGGCAGTTTGTTTGGCACTTCCTGGAGCAGTTCAAGTGGCCTGTCTATTTTCTTTGGGTGTATATTTGTGTTTAATGACTCTTATCGGTTTACATGCTGGTGCCAGTCTTCCTAGTTAATCACAAACCACTGATGCTGCTTAATCTTGCAAAAAGAGTCTGGAAGAGTCTCTCTCTTAATAACTGACTCTAGTAGCCCAAGGAGGGCTTCCTTTTGGAAAGAAGAGGAAGACACTGGAAATAATAAGAGAAAGAGAGAGAAGATGGGTGGGGGAATCTCTTAAAGGTAGTATGAGTATCATATTCACAACAAGCAAGGCTATGCTACTTCCCCACCCCAAAAAACTGTGTTTCTCCCAGCACCCTTTGAACTCTTATCTCCAGATTATGGTCACTTCCCTTTTATGTTTACTTCAAAGATTTTAAAGCTGTGACACTGGTACTAATCAAGGGTTTTTTTCATTATTGATGGGTTCTCCCCATCTCTTTCTCACCTTCTTTCCAGCTCAGAATGTGACCGTGGAAGAAATTCTCACGGCCTACAAGCAAGCCTGTCAAAAGTTAAATTGCAAACAGATACCCAAACTACTGAAGCAGATCCAGGTATGTCCTAGTCCTTAAAGGTATTGTTATACTGATTGATTAGATCTGGCTGTTAAAGCCAGAGATGGATATTTTAAAAATCCTGCAGGAAGCTAATTACAACAGCAGCAGGAGGAGGATTATAATTATAATGCAGTTCCTGTCCACTCTTGGGGTTTATTTTTAACAGATCTGGTAGACATAGGAACCCATTCTATATTGAGGCAGACCCTTGGTCTATCTAGGTGGTGGTGTTAATGCTGACTAGCGGCCCCTTTCCCAGGATCTTTTCTCAATCCTTCCAGGAGAGGCTAGGGGTTGAAGCCAGACCTGCTCACAGAGACTGCAGCCCTTCTCAATTCCTCATAGCATCTGTCCAGCAAGGAAAAGGCGAAAGGAGACCCCTGTGATTCCAGGATGGTTCCAAGGCCATTCTGTAAGGGAACTTGCAAAATTAACTTAAAGGCCAACTTTTCCCTCCTGACATTTAATCTTATGGGCTCCATCTTGGGAGCCATGACCAAGAAGAAAATGACTGATTCTGTGCTTAATCCCAGATTTGAAACAAACTGACTTGGCTTCTGAAGAGAGTCTGAGTCAAATTTGGAGTTAGAAGACACCTGCAAGGCCCTGGCATGCATTTCTCTTCTCCCCCATGTTTCTCTTCAGCTCTGATCCTTAATGTAGTTTCTTGCCATAAATAATAATTTGCCACTGTTTTGTTGCAGGAATTTAAAGATCTAACCCCCAGGATAGATTGCCTGGATCTAAAAGGTATGTCTTCAAGCCTTTTATTGGCACAGCTGATTTGCCAACATGGGCATGCCTTTAAGGTTGCTGTCCCTCTTGTTCACGAATTGGTTCCATTTATTTGCATTTGAAAATAGGTCCCTTTTTGCGGAGGTGGCAGAATAGATGTCGCAGATCCTGGGGTCATTTTGCCGAGTGCCATGTGCGAATTAGTCATTATCTTTTGCTGGCAGGTATGTGAAACCTGATATTCTAAAGCTGGCTCAGGTTTTCACCAACTTACCAGCACTCTTCTCTTTTGCATTCAACTTTCTTTCTCCAGTTGTAGATTTAAAAGTTAATCAAGTTTGAAAAAAATTGGAAATGCGCCAAATGGTGTAACCAGATTGATAGATGCTGATGAACATCTGTTATCTTTTTCACGGTAGCCAGAAATACGCATGATCCTGTCTGGATTTACCTGGAGTGAACCTTGCTTTTCCTCCTGTTCCTTTACCAGGTTTTACATTTCATAACTAAGCAGTCCCTTTAAAGCAATCAGTAAACGTCGTGTTTGCATTATAATGACAGGTTGTTGACCACAAGATGGGTTTTATGTGCAGAGCTGCTAAATAGAGGCTTCATTTCAAAATGAAATGCCTGTTCACAAAGAGAGACTGGCCTGATGGGCAGGGCCATAAATTGTCAGGGCTCCAGGTGTGTGAGGGTGCAGACGTCATCTGAATGGAAAATGAACGGTCACGCCTGACAGCTAAGGAGAAGAAAGAGCAACCGTGTTAGGCTATCTGGCTCTGTAGCAGAAATAACAGCCACATCTCTGAGCATCCTTTCTGACCTCGGCACAGTGCTAAATCTTCATTATGAGTGCACAGTTTTCGTGCACTGGGTACGGGCACTTAATCCTCATATCAGAAGAAGTTTGAAAAAGGACGAAGAGGTTGTAGTAGTAGAAAATGAGAAGAATTCTTGTAGTGAGGGGTAGGACCTCTGTTGTACCTTGAGTAAGTGCTTTTATAATGCCACTTATAAGAGAGGTGAGTAACATGGCAGCTACAGGACTCCAATATTAAATAATAAAAATTGCTAAAAGGGAGGTAGGAGAAGATAGAGACTTAACTGCCCAGTTATTGCAGTCTCTAAATCCAAATGTTTTTAAGAGGAAAAAAAGCACAACTTAATCTTCAACTGGACCATTTTAGCACAGTAGTTAAAGGTTCAAGTCCCCACTTGGTCATAGAGCTCTTGGCTGATTTCAGGCCAAGCCCTCAGCTCAGTCCACTCACAGAGAGACTGTGGGGATAACACTGGGGAGACCGCTATGAAAATTGTCTTGTGCTCTCGGAAAAATGGTGGAATGAAAATGCCAGTAATAATAAATGTTCTGGAGTGGCCTTCACTTTTTCTTTCTCTTCTCCTTTGTAGAAAGCACTGAATAGAAGCAGCCTTTAAACCTCATTTGCCTTATTCCTTATCTGCATAGCCCTCCATTGTGGAATACACTGCTTTCTGCTGTGGAGGATCATTCACTCACTTTCATTTTTGCTCACACCCACACACTCACATGAATGTGAGTCTAATTTCCTTGAGCCCACTTTATGGGGAGGAAATGTTGAAGGTCTTCTCTTCCAACTCCTTTTCAACTTGATCCAGAATGGGTTACAGTTTGCAAAATACTGTGTTGCCTCTTCAGAGGCACAGAATTGAGAGACAGTAGGCTACCCCTGTTACTACGAGATGTTGAAAAGATCTTCCTTTATTCCCCCAGATAATTTATCACTTGGCCTCCTTAAACTTATAAGGATCCCCGAAATTCTTCGTTGCTTCAGGGGATTTAACCGTTCCCAAACACCAACACCACAAGCAAGCATCTACGGAAGGTGAAGCTGTGTGGTGATACTGTCTGGCCTGTCTCTCCAGCCCAAGTGCCTCTTTCCCCCTTTAGTCTCACTTGACTAAACTTGACTGTCTAGAAGCTGCTAAGCTGATTCAAGTATTGCCATGTCTCCCAGTAAAAGGTTGAGAGCAGTCAAATACTGATTTACATTTCCAGTGGAGAAAAGATCCATTTCTTCCTGTAATTCCTGTAAGGCAGGGTTTCTCAACCTCAGCAACTTTAAGATGTGTGGACTTCAACATGCTGGCTAGGGAATTCTGGGAGTTGAAATCCACACATCTTAAAGTTGCTGAGGTTGAGAAACCCTGCTGTAAGGCTTGGAATGGCACAGCAGCTGAGGCTCTTCTAAGAGTTTCTCTCTGCAGGCCTGTCTGGCCTCAACCTCATTTTAAATCCCCAACCACTGCGATCTGTACAGCTTTTTCCCCAGTTGGAGGCTGAGCCATTCACAGCCATGATATCTGTGGGACTGGCGGCTGGGTTACCAACATCATCTTGACTTGAGGCAGCCTTGTCCCTAGGCCGCTCATCCCATCACTTTTCTGAGCAGGGAGAAGTTTAGTGTGTTGGCTCCCAGGATTGTCTAACATCTCTCCCTCCACCCCACCCCTTACTTCTTCCTGAGTTGCTGGTCATAAACCACCATATTTTTCAAACTATTTGTCTCTCTTGTTTTACAGGTGAGAAATTAGACTACAAGGCTTGTGAGGCTCTGGAAGAGATTTTTAAGCGCCTCCAATTCAAAATTGTGGATTTGGAGCAAACCAACCTTGATGAAGATGTATGTAACCTATAAAGAGCTTTTAAATATTCCTCTCTTCTCTCTGGTGAAGCAGAATTCTGCACCTCTTCACCATTCAAAACTGACTGTCTGAGGAATTGAAAAGGGCACCTTCTGCCTAGAGGTCTACATGTAACATCCTAATAAATGGAAATGAATTTAAATTCATTAAACTTTGCTAGTTCTGCACCCATGCCTGTGACAGGCAAAATCGTTGTTTGGGATGCTACACCCTGTTAACATTGCTGCTGTTTTTTTCTCCTCTCTTGTTTGCTAGGGTGCCTCAGCACTGTTTGATATGATTGAATACTATGAGTCAGCCACACACCTCAACATCTCGTTTAACAAACACATTGGCACCCGAGGTTGGCAGGCAGCTGCGCACATGATGAGGAAGGTTTGTACTAATGTTCTCCTGAGGTTTTTGTTTTTTTTTAAACTGGTAGGTAGCCTTGAGGAAAGACAATAAATAGCCTATTTCACCATCATACCAGAAATAATGGGAATGCCACTTAAGTCTTTTCCTGTGAATTGGAGGCAAATCCTAGGGCTGGATTTGTCCAAGGACGTTCACAGCAGTGTTTAAACCCCAAATGGGTCCCTCTGGTTCCAAGCCCGGCATTGGCCAGTTATCACACAGGCAGCCTGCTTTGGGAGTGTTACGTCTAAAGCTTCCATACACCAGGATGTTTGAAATTGGGCCTGGAGACTCCAGGGATGGATCCTCTGCACTGAGGACTATATCACAGATTTCTGCTTATTACTGCCTTCTTTGAGGTCCTGTAATCTGGGTAGAATAACTTCACACTTGGCAACATTGCATGGTACAATGTCTTGCCATATATGCCAGACCTGCAGTTTGGTAATTTGTGCTGAAGCTTTCACTTGATGAAAGAAGGTTGCCTCCGATGTCCTTAGCTGAAACTTTGTCTGTTCCTGCATATTGTGGTTCAGTCTTCTTGGATCTTAAGAGGCGGTCCCTTCCCTTCTTCCCCACCTCCCCTCTGCCACGTCTGTCTGTACCTGACTCTTGCTGCTTTCTTTCTCTCCCAGACAAACTGCCTCCAGTATGTGGATGCCCGCAACACGCCTCTGCTGGATCATTCGGCCCCATTTGTGGCCCGCGCCTTGCGCATCAGCAACAGCCTGGTCGTCTTACACCTGGAGAATGCTAGTCTGTCTGGTCGTCCCCTCATGTTACTGGGTGAATAACTTGAGTTGTCCTTTTGTTAACATCTTCCATCCCTCTGCCCCCGCCCCCACCCTATGTTGCAGTTGTTCCCAATCCCTTGCTAAGAGATCAACATGCTTTTTGTGAGTGTGTTCCTGTAACATTTCAGGCACATGGCCACTCTTAGCATGTTAAAAATAAATGACATGCAGTTTCTCAAAGGAGCTTACAAGCCAACTGTAGTGGTTCCCCCCTCCCCCCGCATCCTGTAACACCTCATTGTTATCTTGATTCTTTTCCTGGGTAAGTGGCCCTCCCCTTGGCTGATTCCACATGATATTTTTATTTTCTAAGGCTGCTTCTGGGGCTTAGGAGGGGCAGTGGACATTCTTGCAGATAAAGGTGATCCTGGAGCTTTAATAATAAATTGGAACCAGCCTGAAGGACTTAACATCCAGACTGGTAGCAATAATAAATGAAGTTTGAAAGATTATCCTCTTTGCTCATAGCAACAATATCCAGCTTTAGTTGACTTGGTTGTTTTTCCATTCCAAAACTCCTTTTAAGAGAGGAGGAGAAGGAAGACTGTACAGCTTGGCTAGGAATGTGCCTTTTTCCTCCTCTGTGGCTACTCTTTGTGAGCAGTCTATGAATTCCCTCCAAGCCTTGGCTACTGTCAGCAGTGCTTCAAGTAGATCTGTTATTCCTCACTTTTCCCCTTTGCATCCAAGGAAAGTAGAACTTTTCAAGGATTGTGGTTCTTTTCTTCCTTGCACTTTCCCTCCACGAAAGAAGCATCCATTGGTCACTGTGAGAAATAAAATGTTAGGCTAAACAGGCCCTTGGCTTAATCCATAGGACTTTTTCTCTGCTTAAAAGAGCATTAGGTGAAAGAAGTTGGAAAAGAAAGGCCTCTTAACGCAGCTTGGTTGCAGGGTGTCCCTTGGGGGAGAACGACAAAGCCTGCGTCATGATTAAAATCCCATCATTTCACTTAGACACAGGGATGAGATTTACACCATGACATCCCTGCGGCCTACCGTCATTTTTGCATCATTGCGGTTTGCTGCCAGAACTGACGGCCATGGGTTACTGGAGTGGGCCCAAAGTTGTGTTTCCTTCTTGCTCGCTCATTGATTTATTTTTCTGTTCTTAGCGACGGCTCTGAAAATGAACATGAACTTGCGGGAACTTTACCTGGCTGATAATAAACTGAACAGCCTCCAAGACTCGGCTCAGCTCGGCAACCTCTTGAAGTTCAATTGTTACATACAGATCCTGGATCTCAGGAACAACCATGTTCTGGACTCGGGTAGGGGAGATCTTGCCTCAAGCATCCTCTTTTCACTCCAAAACAGAAATCCATGAACTGCAGCTCAAAAAAAAAGTAACAGTTGCATTTCCATTCTCAGCTGTAACTTTACTCAAATTCCAAGCTGAGAAAAGTCCAGATGCTGTGGCTTGAATACATCTTTGCAAATTAAGTAAGCTTTCACGTGTCTGATTATTTTTGCAGAATTTATTTCGGTCTTGTTAGCCAAAAAATATATGCAGGAATGTCCTGGAGGTTAAGATAAGATTTTAAATAATTCAGACAATAGGAACATTTTATTTACTGGTTTATTGTGTATATTTGAACACTTAAATAAATCACATTAACTTGACAAGTAGCAGCTGGGGCTTATTTTAATGCAGTTGATTGCAGTAATTCATGCATCATTCTATTTTTGGATGGGTCAAACTTCCAAGGAGACACATTCTTCAGATTTGGAAAAATAGGGCTGTCAACTGGTAATTGATTTTTAAATAAAGTTCTTTTTGCTGAATCCTAAAGGTGGTTATTTTTTTTGAGGAACTGGTAAAAAGTGTCAGGTATCTATGATCCAAGAAACTAATTTTCAGCATTTCCTCTTTATTTAAACGATCCTACCTAGAAACAAAATAAATTATTTAAAGTAGATGCAGAGATGTTACCCCAAGAGGAAGTTAATCCAGAAGGAAAGTTTCCAGGAAGGAAAGTTTCCAGAAGGAACAAACTGATGTATTTATTCCCTTAAGCCAAATATAGAACCTGCAGATCTTCTGCATTACCATGTGCTATTTTAGAAAAAATGAAGAAAACTTCCCTTTCTCAACTGTTTGTCCTGTGGTTCCTAGGATTGGCCTATATCTGTGAAGGGCTGAAAGAGCAGCGGAAAGGCCTCGTCACACTGGTGCTGTGGAATAATCAGCTGACTCACACCGGCATGGCGTATATGGGGATGACGCTGGTGAGTCAGAACCTCTTGCTGTATCACAGGGCACACTCTTGGATCAGAAAATTGGAGGCTGCATGGAACACGGTGTGGAACTGCCTTTTACCAAGTCAGAGCATTGATCTGCCTAGCTGTGATGGAATGTATCTACAAAGAAGAGAGTGATGTGGGAGATCGAGGCTATCAGGAAGGAGGGGCAGCATTCCAGCAGGGGAAAGGAGGCAAAAGACAACACAGTCTGCAGGGGGAGTGTGGGAAGTGAAAGAGGTTCAGGGTAGCCACTCCCTAGAATCTCCCAGGGTATATCCACTAGTTGCTGTAGTATAGATTGAGTTTGGCAAGATTCTGTCTATAAGGAGTAAGCAAATAAAGGAACTATACACGACTGGACGGTTTCATCGTTGCTCTTGGGCTGGGCCTGACACTAGCCCAGCATTGTCCTCTTAAGCCAGTGGCTGGGAAGCTGTCTTCAGGAGACATTTTTTCCATTACTGCATAACAGATCCTTTTACGTGGAGATTGCAGGGTGTAGTTTTAGAAGCAAGGCTCCGCAGTGCTTCAGATTTGATTTTAAAGAGGCAAGAGGTGCCCTGCCAGGATCTGATTCCACCCTTGCCTGTTTCTGCTGATTCACTGCGTGGTCAGCCTCAGGTGATTGATTGATTGCTTGCTTGCTTGATCCATGGCTGGCAACTCAATGGATCAAGTCTTTCAGCCTCCAAGGCGTCAGAGTAGACTGTAACCTGTACCCTTCTTCCTTAACTGCCCCAAGACTCTTAGCTGTTGCTTTCTGTTTATGGGTATAGTTTGGCTAGAGTTTTGAGAGCCAGGGATTTTGCCTTTTTGGAAATGTACATATCATCTGAACTTGAAACATGGTAGCCCACAATCTGCTCCATTTGCATCTTCAGCCACACACCCAGAGTCTTGAGACCCTGAATTTGGGACACAACCCAATTGGCAACGAAGGTGTCCGCAACCTGAAGAACGGGCTCATCAGTAACCGCTCAGTGCTACGGTTGGGCTTGGCTTCGACCAAACTGACTTGTGAAGGTAAACCGACTTGGCAGCCTTTCCTGCCTCCTCTTGATGGCGGCAGAAGCCATTCAAAGTAGGGGTCATTGTCTGCATGATCTCACCAGGGGTTTTGGTGCCCAGGTGCTGTGGCTGTGGCAGAATTCATTGCAGAGAGTCCTCGTCTGCTTCGGCTGGACCTGCGAGAAAATGAGATCAAGACGGGGGGACTGATGGCCTTGTCCTTGGCTCTGAAGGTCAATCATTCTTTGCTCAGGCTGGACCTTGACCGGGAGCCCAAAAAGGAATCGGTAAGTCTGTGATAGGAAGCCAGTTCCCCATCTGGGCTCTCTCCAGTGGACCAGTTCCCCAAATTCCTCAGCCAACGCAGCCATTGCTGAGACTTGAAATCCACACATCTGATCAGTGTCAAGGTTGGGGAGGGTTGGAGTGAGCTTCTGCTCATGAACCCTCTACTTCTTTTCTGGGAGCTGGGGGAATTGTCCACCTTCTCAAAATTTTTAAAAGCTACAGTATGAGCCTCTGAAATGGGCCTTGGCTGTAAATGAGAACTTTCCTTAGATGAAAGCTGAAGCAACCAGAAGCCAGTGAACCAATCATTCAGCTTCCTCTAATGCTGTGCATTGACCTACAAGTTGATGGGGGTTTGAGTCCAAAATATCCAGAGGTCCGTTCTCTGAAAAAGGCTGGACTAGATCCTTCTATGGCCAATACCACCTTCCGTTGATTTCCTGACTCATTTCAAATTTGCCCTAGAGCAGTGTTTCTCAACCTTAACAACTTTAAGATGAGTGGACTTCAACTCCCATCTGGACTCAGGCAGGTTTGATTGAAATGCAGGTTCTGAGGAAAAGAAGACTCCCCTGGGGAGAAAAAATAACATGGCTTGAAGCTCCTCAAACGAACATCTGTTGTAACTCTGCTGATTCACCTTGTTCTACCTTGCTCCTCTTGCAGGTGAAGAGTTTTCTTGAGACGCAGAAAGCTCTCCTGACAGAGATCCAGAATGGCTGCAAGCGCAACTTTGTTCTGGCCAAAGAGAAGGAAGAGAAGGAGCAGAAGCTCCAGCAGTCGGCCTCCATGCCTGAAATCATGGTCACAGAACCCCTGGAGGAGGAGCGGGTGGAGGATGACGGGCAGAATGGTGATGTGGTATCCAGTCTGGAGGAAGCAGAGGAAGTAGGGGAAGCCCTGATTTCCCATGAGAATGGAGCAGCAGAGAAGAATGTGGCAGGTGGCAACAACAATCTGTCCGATTCCGATTCAGACACTGAAGAGGAGGTGGAAGAGGAGGAGACATTGCAAATGAAGAATCTCTCTCCATCAGAACAGCCCAGCAAGCCCAACCACACTGAAGGAGCTCCCAGGGTGTGTTCCGTCGATAAGAGCAGGAACATCCTTGGAGCTGAAGACAAGGCTTCCCCCTTGAACACTACAGAAGAAATAAAATGTGAATCTCGAATAGGAGCCACAAGCAGTTCGCCAGTACAGATCAGTTCTCCTGGAAATGAGAAACGGATATCTGTTTCTAGTCCTGGGCGAGGCCATAAAATCTTTGTAGTGACGCGAGTAGAGAGCTTGCCGGAGAAGGAGGAGGAGAGAGCCCAGCAGAACATTGGCCCCGCAGCTCTGTCTGTGCCTCCATCAAAGCAGGTGGACTCTTTGCCCTCAGATCAGCCCATAAAGACTGAATGCTCAAAACAAGAGACCAGGGAGACTGTGACTGAACCAACAGCCAGCTTGGAAAGTTCTCACCTCACACCCAGTTCCCATTTGGGCACAGAAAAAATGAACTCTGGGTCATGTGAGGGCACTGTCCACCTTGCTCTGCTTCCTAATGGGATAAAGACGGAGTTTCTTCATGTGCTACCGGACACACCTTTAGGATATGACGGGAAAATTGCCAGCTGTGCTGTGGAGCATGGTAAGAAAGCATGAGGGCTTTGCATTACAGCAGAGGTGAGATGGCAGGACCAAAGAGTTCCCACAGTCCCGCTGAATTTTATTTATTATCCTGAAGAGTGAGGCTGTGCAGGGTGGGAGGAGCCCTCAACCTCCTTTGGGCCGAAGGCAAGACTTGATCTTCGGGTCAGGTGCTGGAGATATGCTCCCAAAAAACCAGGAGGAGGAAGGGCCAAAGAAGCAGTTGAGGCTAGGTTACAACATTAAATAGAATTAAAGTTCCACAATTTAACCTCGGTGAACATGATTGTTTGCCATGGATAGGATAATTTTCCCCTTCCATTGTGTCAGAGGTGATGATTTTGATGGCCACTCTTGGGCAGGCTCCTTGGCTTTGGAGGGTTGCCGGAATTGCTGCTGGTGCAGCCCTGACTTCACGTCAGCACGATGGGTGATTGAGTGGCTGCATGACGCTCCGATTCTCTGTTCTGTTTTTCAGAGCTGAACTGTTCCAAAAATGAGAAGGAGCTGGAGGAGTTACTCTTGGAAGCAAGCCTAGAGATGGGACAGGAACCAATGTGACACTTTAGGTAAGAGACTGCCCTCTGAACGTGTGGAAAGGAGAGTCCGTACATCTAAAGCCAGGGTCCCAGAAAGGGTAACGTGTGCTTTAAAAGCAGGGCTGTTTGGCCACAGAATAATACTCAGACCTGATTCTGAATGTATGTGTGCCCAAGTCAGCCCCCCTGAATTTAGTTAGCGCCTACTGTAAATACATGTATAGGAGTCCTCACTTAATGACCACAATTGGGACCAGCAACTCTGTTGCTAAGCAGCATGGTCATTAAGCGAAACATGACTGTGCCAGACTTACGACCTCACTTCTACTGCAGTTGTTAAGGGAATCAACTTGCAATTTTACTGCCGGCTTCTCCATTGACTCTGCTTGTCAGAAGCTGGCTGTGAAGCATGCAAATGGCAATCACGAGCCTGCTGGACACTGTGACGGTTGTAAACGCCTGCCAGTGGCAAAGTGCCCAAATTTTTTATTGCATGACTGCAGGGACACTGCGACAGTCCTAAGTGTGAGGACCAGTTGTAAAATTACTTTTTCACCACCGTCGTAACTTCAAATGGTTGCTAAACAGGGCAGTTGTTAAGTGAGGACTACCTGTATGCAGTGCGATTCTAGTTAGAAGCCAGTAACTGGTTTGGGGACTTCCAAGGCATTCTTTATCTAAGGCTACCAATGATTGAATTTTTCTCCAACATCTTTTTTTTTTTTTACTCTAAATTTGCAGCTGATTTTTTTAAAAAATTCAGCAGTGTCTCAAAATCCAGCTGAATGACTGACCTTACCAGCCCTGGGAACCCAAAGAACCATTCCCAGAAATGTTAGGTAGTTGTGTGAGGAGATCCTCTTGCTTCTTCCAACTGATGGAGGGCTTTTTAGAAAGCTTTAGAGGGAAAAACAACACACTTCTCTCACTCTTGGAAAGTAGGTGAGTGGTACGAAAACCCTCTCTCCAACCCCCCCAAAGCTTTCTTCTCTGAAAGCGGTCCTTTTGGGGGGATTTTTACTTACGCCTCTCAGGGTATGCTTGTCTCCCTCTCTTTCCTCCTCCACTTTGGGCTTTTTTCTTTATTCCATCCAGATGACAGTTAAACTCTTTGGATAACCAGACTTGATTTTTCTTGCAATCCAAGGAAAGAGTTTGGTTTTTTCCCTCTCTTTCTTCTCTTCGGCCTCCTCCAATTCTTTCTGAAAAGCTGCTGGGTTCACGCAGTTTCAAAGGAAGACATTTCTGGGCTCTTTTACTCAGGCACAGTTATCCATCCATAAAGTTATGAATTTTAATAAATCAGGTGTTAATTAGAGTGGGTGAGCAGAACAGGAAATAACGCTGCTTCTTTTTACAATCCTGTACGTGCCTGTTTAGAGGCAAATCCTGCGGTGCTCAGCAGAGCGTGTTTTGAAGAAAGCATGCTAGGACCTCAGTCTTCACTGCTTTGAAGAGAAGTTTTCAATCAGATCCTTTTTCTGTTTGCTCAGAAGTAAATCCTGAATTGTAGGCATCATATTGCTGGTACCTACCTTACCCCATTCCACTAATTCCCCCCCCCTTCTTTTGGAGGCCTGGTTTCCAGCGTGAAAGCAGTGAAACAATATACATTTCATAGGAAGGGGAGGATGGCATCTTCTTCAGCTATCCAGTGGGAAGAGGGAGGCATTCAGAACAAGTACAGAGGGACCTTCCTTGTATCCTAGTGTTTCTGCTAGAACTGAAGATGTGCTTCAGTCTTAGCACAAATTAAGTTATGAAAAGGCGTTGGAGGAAGCTTCTGTATAATGAGGGGAATTCCAAGCAGAATTCCAATACATAAATAAATAATTGAAATAATTGAAAATATTTTGGGGAGATGGCAAATTGGATCTTGTCTTTAAGAAGTGGGAAGGAATGAGAATATGCTGCAGCAGCATAATTGCAAGGAATATAAAAGGTATAGGACAAAATCTTCCCGTGGTGAGTGGTTAGTGACTAATGTGGTGTCATGGTTAAGATGTTGGATCAGGGAGACTTTGTTTCTAGTCCACTCTTAGCCATAGAAACTCACTGGGTCACTTTGGGCTAATCCCTCTCTCTGACCCCAAACTACCTCCCAGTGTGGTAGTTGTGGGTAGAAACTGGAAGACAGAATGCTATGTGTGCTTCTTGGAGCAGGATATGAATCTAGCAAATAAAAACAAGCTCTCATTAAGAATTCTAAATATATAAGAGTACCTGCATATTTTACGCAGAATTGCATCATCCAGGACCATGTTCCAGAACTGTTGAGCCTTGGCTTGCTTAAGCTGGGTGTTAAAGTGAGATGTAGCAGCTTGTAGGGTGGGGGTAGGGAGGACAACACAGCAGTGACACCAACAGCCCTTGGATGCTGCTTCGCGCGCATACACACACATACACACTCACTCACTCCTGAACAGGTAGATATATCAATGCCAGCACTGCTGACACACCAAAAAAAAAAAAAATTCTACACAGCATTGAAACAATTGGAATACAAGAAAACACCTTCATGTATAGGCAAATATAGTAAATGGAGCAGCTTTAAAACCATGAGGAATATACAGTTAGTCCTCTGTGCAGTGAAATGGTGATGGGGTTGATACTCAGTCATTTCACCTGTTCCTCCTTTCAGCCTCTGGGCCCCCTCCACATCTGCTCCAGGGTGGTTGTTTTTTAGAGCAGGCTTTTAAGAAGGGAAGTTACAGTGGAAATCCCTTTTCTCCCCGCTTTGAGAATGGATGGCTTTATTAGCGGAAGAATGCTGGCCCAGCTGTAGCCAATGTTATAACATAAGCAACAGCACTCTATTTATCAGCACTACTTTCATCATATGCTTCCTATTTAAAACAATTTCCCACATAAGGATCGTAGCAGACGCATAATGTCTGGATAGAAAGTGATACCTTTAACTTGTTCTCACTGTGGGTGTTTTTTTTGTTTTTTGTTTAATTTGGACTTAGGGGAAGAGTGCTTCCAAAAGCAATTCTGCTTCAGCCCTAGCTAACAGTATCTTTGTTGGCCTTGTTCCTTTAGCTCCGAAATATATGCCAGATGGGGGAGGGGTACAAATTAATAAATTTGTTCAAGACATATGGTGACCACAGGAAATGAAACTTTTCACTCTCCAGAATGTTCTCTTTTAAAATGCTCAATTACGGATAACTCTTATGGATAAGTCAAGCTTCTAGTTCTCATATTTTGAAACCTTTTTTTTAGTGATATTTAGGTGAAAAGGTACTTGTACTCTTTGTCCTAACAAGGGGAGAAAATGGAAGCAGTTTGATGTGGGTGTGTGAAAACAGGGATGAGATGTGCCTGAGATGTTTAAAATGAGGCTTGCTTATTAGTAGCAGGGTAAAGACTGAAATCAGCTAGAAATGAACAGCTTGCTCTGATATATATATTAAAACAGATATATTGTCATTTTGGTAAGTCCCAACTACTTAGCCCTCAGTAAAACGAGGATGATTTATCCAGTAGTTTCTGGACATGTGGATTTCTAATTCTGACCCTCTGAACTTTTTTCTTCCTCCTCCCCTTCTCCTTCAGTTCTGGGCTGTTGCTGATCAGACGGATTGCATTTGGGAAGCACTTGTCTAGCTTTACTTCCTGCCTCCACCGTGTGATCCCAAAGAAACAAAGTGGACACTGAGATACCGGGGCAATTGGATGCCTTGTCCCTTCCCAAAGAGCTTTGTTTCCAAATGCAGCCCCCCCCTTTTTTTTGGCATTCTCGATGTCTTCCTCTGAGAAGAGATGCGCAGTCTAGCAGGAGCGATCCAGGAAACTAGCAAAGGGAGACCTCAACCTGGAGAAGAGCTTCCGTACTTGAGTCATAGGATGAACTCTTGATGCTGGACTGCTTCAATTTCTCCCTCTGGAACACTAGCCAAGGGCACTTGCAATGTTTCCCCCTTTTCCTTTCTGGAATGACCCTGGCAAGTCAACTCTGCAAGGAGATTTAACTTGTAGGCTCTGGATGTTAACAGGCTGCGATCGTCTGTCCAAAGGGGAGAGTTTAAAAAAAAAAAAAGCAAAACCCTGAAGACCAATAAGGTCCTGCATTTTGGCTTTTTGCGCAGTGCAGATGTGACCCGTCTCGGCCAGCGACGTTTTCAAAGAAGGCTGAGGAGGGAGATGTGACAATATTGAGTCAAGGTGGCAAACTTGTCATGTCACAGCCCCATGCTGGAAAAAACTTTTCTCGCCTAAAGCAAGACTATTCAGGCTGTTAATTCACAGCACAGACTACTATTTATTTTTGTTTTTATTCATATATATATATATATGTATATGTATATATATATATGAATATATAAATTCATATATCTATATATATACACACACGCATTCATATCTTTTTTCCTTCCTTTGTTGTGTCTCCATGTTCGTTCTATTTTTTGTTTGGTGTCTATTTATAGTGGAATGGGAATGCTCTTCCCGTTAATCTGCATCCCTTTCTGAGTGACTCGGCTGCCTCCCTGCTCTTTCCGCTCGTTAAAAGAAGAAGAAATCCCTTATGGAAGCTCTCCTCTGGGGCCCCGTGGAGCATTTGCCACCAGCTGAGGACATGTTGTGCATCAAGCGGGGGGGAGGGATTCCTCTCCCTCCATTGCCCACGAATGTGAATGCTGCCACTGTTCCACCTACTTTGGCTTCTTCTGTTTATTGGGAAAAGGATCAGGTTGTTCCATCTCCAGGGTGTTCCTTTGCAAGCCGTACGGGGCTGAACTTGGGGACAATGGCGTAGGAAACTCTTCGGTGGACTGTAAAACTTGGAAGGAGCCGTGTATTGCAAAAGGGCAGGGGGTGCTTACCCCATGTGAGGAAACTGACACGAGAATCTTTTTACGGATGCTGCTGGGTTCAGGGTAATTTAACACCCCCTTCCCCATTTTTTCCCCAACTTATTGCATCTCTTCACGTTGCAGGCCTTTCCACATTGCTTCATACATGTGGATGAGGAGGTAACAGCCGTGGTAGAAAGTTAGCTGCTCCTGATCTGGGCCTTATGGAGTCCCAGAATTGCTCTTCTCCCACAGCAACAGTGAATCCCTCCCAGCCGAACCGTGCTTTTCTCAGCGTTCGGCCAGAAAAGGGGGATGCTAAAGACTTGGTGAACCAGGTGAGGTGGGAATCTCTTCCCATGTGCAGGGAAGAGGAAATCTGCAGGGAGCCCTTGTCTGGGGTGCTACAAGATTTCGGCGCAAAAGGAGGAGAAGGAACAGATTGCTGTAGAAAGCGTTGTGGGGGAGGGTTGACTATTTCTCAGGGAAGGGCTTTTTGAAGAATCCCTCCCCCCAATATGGTGTCCTCGAGAGGAGCCAGAATACCAAGGCTTGTGCACACTCGCATGTTCTCTCTCTCTCTTCCATAATCCCCTTGTTGGAACCTAGTAAGAGAAGAGAAATCCAATGGTGATGAGAAGCTGCAGACGTTCAGGTGGATGTGGTCTCACAGGTAATCCCCCAAACTGAGCTCCGCCCACGCATCGAGCCACAAAGACTGATTGGTGCTCGCAGATGGTGAGCAGGCACCCTGATGTGGTGAGATCTGTGTTGGCAGAAGGGGTTGCAACAGGCCAAAGTCCATGTGGTTGGAAATCAAGCGATGGGAAGCAGAGGCATTCTTTGGAGGCCGTGTTCAGCGTCCTCCAAAATCTTTTCCCATATGTGAAAAACTTCCCCAAACCGACTGCACCTCCATCGGAACAGCTCATGTGAAAGAAATGGATAGGAAGGAAAGTTCTCCCCCCGCCAGATAATGGGACTACTCTGCCCTTATCAGCCATCACGCAAAATCTGCAAGAGTTTTTATGGTACTCTAATGAAGCAGAAATGAAAGGAATGTTTTTCCCTCTTAATCCCCCCACTCCCCCCAAAATACCTTTTTTTTTGTACAAGATTGACTGGAGGACATGCCTTCCTGCAAAAGAGGGGAGGGCCGGCTACGGAGCTGGTGCAGAACTTTAAAAGCTTTTTACTTCATTTTTAAATTTTGTTTGTTTTGTTTGTTTTTCTTAAGTGCAATGGAATCTTATCAGGGAGCATGAAAATGGCACTTTTTGCTGCGTAGAATTTCAGGCTGGAGAGGCAGACACAAAAGGTTTTGTGTGCCCTTCACCCTCTTGACCATGACACTCTCGTACACTCAAGCGCACACGCACATGCACAATCACACGCACGCTTATCTGTAAATGGAGTATTAATGCAGCCCCCCCAAAAAAATTCCTGTCAATGAAGCTTTCGCTGCATTAACCCTCCATTTACCCCTTCCCCCCCTTCCCCAACGGCACCAGTTTGATTTTTGTGTTCCTTTTTCTTTCTGCTAAAGTTTGTCATTCCCTTCTGGGTGCGTGCGTGTGTGTCGTTTTATTTTTATGGAAGCTGTCTTCTATTAAATGAAAAGCTGCATTCATCACGTGGCTCGTTTCAGTCTGTTTTGATCGGGCGCGGGGATGAGTTGTTCCGATGGCACAGCCGCCAGTTGTACTCTTCTTTGTCGCTTGGCCAAATAGACCCAATAGCCTGGCTTTATGTTTTGTTTTGTTTTTAAAGGGCTAGGACTGGTTAGCCTGGGCCTTGGGCTTGTTTATATTGTGGGGTGGGATTCTTGGCTGCCTTATGGAGATCCGTAAGCAAAAATGCAAGTCCTTGCCCCCCAGATCTTCCAGCGTGAATCTTGGAGTGACAGGAAAGGAATCAGAGGAGCAAAGGAAGGGAAGGTGACCTGGCTGGATTTCTCTTATATCACCCTACCTGCATCTTTTGCCTCCAATCTCCTTAAGTGTGGCTGAGTTTTTTGGGGTTCCCCCTTTTCCGTTGGTTGCTAGTCATGCAAATAGGGGTGCGAAGGGGGTGGGGATAGCACTGTAACTAAAAAATGAGCAGGTGCAGGGGTGACTCAGAAATGCTGTGTCGTTTGAAGGGAAAGAAGGGGACTCTCCTTTCAAAGGGGTTACCTCAAATTCAGCTGCAGAAAAAGCATTGGCAATTCAGTTTGCTCTGATCTCCAAGATTTGGATGAAGAAGAGGGTGAGTGTTTCCCCCAAAGGGCTTTAGGGCAACAGGAAACTAAGCAGACAGCTGAGGTACAATGGGAAGGGTGTCTTTTCAGTTGAAGCTTGTCCTTGCCTTGCTGAATCTGAAATAACTCCGATCCAGCATTTCTCTATGCAGTCTTGAGCTCCTACGTGGTGGAAAGATAGGGTACAATTTTTTATCTTGGTTTGCTGCTCTTGTGGGGGTGGGATTGCTTTGCAGAGACGGAAGGAAGCTGCTGTCTTCACCCACGTTCCCAAACTGACCAGAATATTTCTTGGCATTTCAGCATTTGAGAAGAGGTGGCGAATGGATAAAATAAGTTAATTCTTTTCTTTCTGAGGATTCAGAAGAAAACCCGCCTTGGTCTTGTACCTTACTTTTTACAATTAAATTTTTTTTTAAAAGCAACTATAGGTAATTTTGTGTTCATGCACTTAATGGATTTATTGCTATCATGCCTGGTTGAAATAAACTTTCCTGAGAAAGGCTCTGCATTTCCAAACTGATTATTGGCAAATGGTTGCATTTTAAAATTGGAACTTGCCTGGCAACATCTCCTCTGCACCCTCACAATTTTGAGGACCAAATTTAGAATGCAAAGAGAGGTGCAGATTTCTCCTTGGCCAGTGGTTTCATCACATAGGATTGAATGAAAACCAAGTTTGTGGACACAGAAAGATGCGTCAGTCAAAGAAATGCAAGTTTCTTTGTTGGAAGAAAGGAAAGCAGTTTCTATGAGGAAAAATAAGGTGATTTTACACCTAATGGGTGTAAAGAAATCAGCAGACCCCTCTTTCTGTGGTGTAAGGGATAAGACTTCGGACATTTGCTGTGGGCTGGAAGCAGCTTGATTGAGAATGGCTGAGTTGCTCAACATCCTGCTTGAGAGTTAGCCAGATTGTGGCTTGTGGAATTCACCCAGTTGCCAGGATTCACAGAGCGCAATGAGCCACAGCTACCCAAACCCTATTTAGCCTAAAATATTACGTGATCCCAATTAATATGTGTGAAACCGAGCATTCTGGGTTCACGCACCACACTAATCCTAAAACTGGGTTTAATCAAGTTGTGCTCGCATACTATCCTAGAGAATAAACAGTGAGATGTCTGGGTTCACACAGAACACTTAAAAATATTTCTCCCCATCCTAAGATTAACTTGCTTGTGCCTCCTCCCCTGTTGCTTCAGTGAGAGGCTTCATGTATACCAAGGCATGGTTTGTTGAACAAGCCATAGATCTAGTTCACCCAGTGCAAAGCTGGTTTACTGTAACAAGCCACAGCGTTTGGTTCACCCAACCAAAACTAAACCAACTGCGTTATCTTTTAGGGCGATGCGTGGACCCAGCCTGCCTGACCCTGATGGCCGAGAGATCAGCACTTACCCAAGAGGAAAAATTCTTTGGTGCACCACTGGGTGGTGTGATTACCTTACTGTACAAGCAAAGGCTTACTTCTGGTATGGGTGGATCAAAATAACTGGCAGCTTTTAAAGACAATCCACCAGCTAAATTGGTGCTACTGATTCCTATTTTCCTGAAGTCAGTTTATTATTCCCTATTCAAAGTAAACTTTTGGAGTGTGCGTGGGTAAAAGCCAGTGTTTCTCAACCTTGGCCACTTTAAGGTGTGTGGACTTCAACTCCCAGAATTCCCCAGCCAGCATGCTGGCT